TTCCTGCTGGGATTTTTAAAAAGAGCTGTTAGAAACCAGAATTTCTGTCCAGGGAGAAGTGAATTTCTCTTTTCTGAAGCGTTTGAACCTCAAGATGCCTCTTGTAGGGGAAAGGAGGAGGGGAGGGAAATGATGGCTTTTAATTAGATATTAAGTGATGAGCACATTTGGTTTTCCTGGCTGCAACTCTTGGATGTTGGGAGCCAAACCAGCCTGGCTGGAACACTTTGGAGAGCTTGAAGTGATCCCAGGATAATCCCCCTTGCTCTCCCTCCTCAATCCTTCAGTGTATTTAACATCTAAATGTCTCTTGTGGGTCTCTCAATGGAAGTGGAAGAGAATTCTCCATCCCCAGGGCACATCTTCTGAGACTACATGTGAATTCTGGGACATTCATTTTATTTTGATTCTATTAATATCTAAATATATTGTGTATCTCTTGATAACATATTATAATCTATTTATAGCACAGAATCAGGTCAAAAGAACAAAAGAAAAAAGGCACCTGGGGCTGTTTAAAAATATATAGTTGGGACTTCTCAGTGTTCTGGTCATTCCAGCACCAGTTTCATCCAAAGCATTTTATTCTCCACTTGCAGGTGATCACCCTCTTCTTCTTCCCTTTTTTTTTTTTTTTTTGGTAGGCTGCTTTTTATCTTGAACTTCTTTGCCTGTGAAATTGTGCAAGTCATTTATAAAATGTATTAGCTGCATTTGAGCACTTAATGATGTGAGGACTTCAATCATACAACCTTAAAATCGGATTCAAACAAGCAATTAAGGCAAACAACAATGTATTTAAATTTAATCTCCCCCAATCTCCCACAAATGACATCTAAAGGTGGTTGCTTCCTCCTTTCCCTGTTCCAGACTGCTGCTTATGGGTAATTCTGACAATTCTTCATGTTAATATTGAAATGTTAGAATCTGGGTGATTCAGACTGGGATGATTCATGGGGATCTAACCTGACCTCGTGCACAGTTTCCTAGAACGTCCTTCACTAACTGTTCAAACCAGAGCATGTATGAAATAATGATGATCCAAGCTTGATGGAAAATAGTTCCACTGATGGAAAATTCACCACAGCCCTTGGTTAAGTTGTTCTAATAGTTAATTGCTCTCGCTGGGAAGGAAAAATGATGCCTTATTTCCAGTCTAAACCTGTTCAGCTGCAGCTTCTGGGCTGTGGGTCTCGTTCATTTTTGTTTGTTAAGAGAGAAGATCCTTCCCAGAAAATTCCTGATGCCTGTAGGTGTTTGCTGACCATCCCAGTCATCCCTGAGCCTCCCAGTCCCCCTGAGCCGCGAAGTCTGCCCTGAGCATTCAAGTCACCTCTGACTATCTAAGTCACCTATGACCATCCAAGTCCCCCCTGACTATGCAGGTCACCCCTGTGTATCCAAGTCCCCCCTGAGCACCCAAGTCCCCCCTGACTATCCAGGTCACCCCTGTGTATCCAAGTCATCTCTCACCATCCAGGTCCTTCCTGAGCACCCAAGTCCCCCCTGGACCATCCAAATCACCTCTGACCATTCAAGTCACCTCTGACCATCCAGATCACTCCAGACCATCCAAGTCACCCCTTAACTTCCTCCAGACTAAACCCATGAGGCTCTGAGCCTCTCCCTGGAAGTCCTAGTGTCTTCCCTGCATTTTGGTGTCCTCTGTTTTGTACATCAACACCTTGAAGGTTTTGAAGAGCTTTTACAAATCCTTCTCACAGTGAGATGCAGCAGAACCTGCTGTGGGGCTGCAGGGGTAACCAAGAGCCACAAGGACCATCAGGGAAGGGACAATTTAATGTCTGCTGAGCTGGAATAAAGTGGGATGTAACGGGATGGTTGGGATGAGCTGGACAATGGAAGTGCAGGTGGAGGCTTTGAGGAAGAAAAAATCAGTATTAAAAATAAATCTGGGTTTGGAATTGAGGTCTGGGGGGGGGGAGTGGAATTAAGGGCTGGGGGGAGGGGGCAGCAGCTGTCTGCAGGGCATTGGTTCCCCTTCTGGCACCAAACCCTGCCCCAGCCTGGATCATCCCATCAGGAGTGGCTTTGTGGTGTGGACTCAGGTTAAAGCGAAGCCTTAGAAAGGCTCGGAGATGGCTGCTCCTGTCTCAGTTCCTTCCCTCATTCCCAAAGATTCCCTTCTCTTCCAGCACAGGGGACAGGAAGGGGCAATTCAGTATCATCATGGAATGGTTTGAGTTGGAAGGGAGCTTAAAGAGCATCTAGATCCCACCCCCTGCATGGGCAGGGACACCTCCCACCAGCCCAGGCTGCTCCAGCCCCATCCAACCTGCCCTTCAACACCCCCAGGGATGGGGCAGCCACAGCTTCCCTGGCCCAGGCTCTGCCCACCCTCCCAGCCAACAAGTTCCTCCTCAGCTCCAACCTCCAGCTCCCCACTTCCATTTCCAAGACCTTCTCCCTCATCCCATCCCTCCTGCCCTTGGCCCAAGTCCCTCCCCAGCTTTCCTGGAGCCCCTTCAGGCCCTGGAAGCTGCTCCAAGGTCTCCCTGGAGCCTTCTCCTCTCCAGGCTGGACACCCCAAGTCTCTCAGCCTGGCTCCAGAGCAGAGCTGCTCCAGCCTTCCCATCATCTCTGGGGCCTCCTCTGGCCTCTCTCCAACAGCTCCATGTCCTCCCTGTGTTGGGGGCTCCAGAACTGGCCCCAGTTCTCCAGGTGGGGTCTCACCAGAGCCCACGGGTCATAAAAGAATCAGAAAAATGCTGAATTCTGCTCCTCCAACCCAACCCACTCCATGATTCTGTGATGATTCCATGATTTTCCTTTGGGGAAAAAAGAAACCTTAGCATGGGAGGGTGTTGAGCCTCTTTGGTTCTCAGGATCTATAGTTTTGGGGTAGCACCTGGATCACCAGGTCCTTCCAACCACGGTGGCTCCAGCTTCTCCATCCCTTTCTAAACCTTGGATCCCATGCCCGATCCATCTGTGTGTTTTTACCAGATTCCTGCAGTTTTGCCTGCTCCCCTGGTTTTCTCAGTGGGCTGCTTTGGTCCTGAGGAGATTGGGGTGGGTTTCTGGGTGTCACTCTCAGCCAAGGCAGGAGGACAAATGTCCCAGGCCTTTTCCTTCTGGCTAAAATTCAGGATCTTCCTTGTGCAAACGCGGCGTCGGGAGGTCCCAGCAGAAGGAGAAGAGAGAGCAGAGCCAAAGTAATTTGAACAGGAGACTGGAGACAATCCCTGTGAAACCAGGAATGATTTCCCACCTTTATTTGAAAGGAGAAAAAAAGTGGATCCTGGTTTCATTTGGAACCAGGAGCTGCTTCTTTCCCTCCGTCGTGGGTCCCGGCACCGTCTTTTGTTTTTTTGCCTCGTGCTCGTTTTCCTCCTTTTCCTTCCCTTTTTCTTGGCAGGCAAAGGCAGATTTTTCAGGGAGGTGAGGAGGGGGGAAGAGGAGATGCCCAAAAATAGCCGAGTCCATCCTGCTGTGCCCCCCATATCACCACAGCTCTTGGGTTTTTGCACTGGGCCTGTAAACATGTTTTTTTGGTTGCTAGGTCTTTAAGGGGGGGGGTTATTTTTGGATTCTCTACCCGATCTCTTTCCCAACAGTGGGTCTGCTGTGGCACAGCTGCCTTCTAAATGTGCCACAGCCACTGCTTTTAAAAAAGATGCCTCTCAAGGTCATTTTATCTGGTTTCTTCTCCAAGAAGACAGGTGACACATTTTTCCCTGTCCCCCCCACCCCCCTCTTCCACCCTGCCCCTCTGGCAGGGCCGCATCCCAGTCTAAAGAGGAAAAGGGAGGCTAAGACAAGCCCCTACCCCCCCAAATTTCTGCAGGAGACGTAGAGTGATGCCTCAAATGAGGATTTCACTGCTCAGTGAAGCTAATCTGGGGGTGGTGTGTGTGCTGCTGGCCGTGATTAAAATCTTCTAATCCCATTTAAAACACGCCGAGTGATGGAAGGCGGCCCCAGCGCTGGCTGTAAACTCCAGTGTTGCCATTAAAGTTGAAAGGTATTAACTAAGTCTGTATAATGAGACAGCTCTGACTCATTAACACAAGGTAATTAAAACTTTGGCCATCTTCAAGCATCTAGAGCCAAGGGCTGGGAGGAAGAGGGGGGGTGGGGGTTGGATGCTCTGGTGCTGCTTCGCTACTGAGAGCTTGTGGTGGGAGAGGGAAGTGGCTCAGGGTCAGGTTTTGTGTCTCCCCTCCTAAAAATGGTGTTAAACCCTTCTCAGGGTGCACTGGGGGTGATTTGGGTGGGCAAGTTTGTAGGCTGGTGGGTGGCCATGCCCTTTCAGCAGTTGTGCCCCTTCTGCTTCTCTCAGAGAGGCTCCAGGAGCCCTGGATGCTTGAGGCTTTAAGAAGTGTCCTAATGGAGGAACAAC